TGGATCTTGTTGCTGAGTTTGAGATGGAGTGTGAGGAGATCTTTGTTAATTCGGTCTAGGAGGAATCTTTTTGTGTGAAGTTCATTTCTGATTAGGGCCAATTCTGTTCTTTTCAGGATCCGTTTGGTGGCTGCAGAGTTGGAGTGGAATTTCAGTTGGAAACATGTGGGGATTAGATTTTAATTGTATATTTAATTGTATTACATAGAAGGATGAGGCTTATATAGAGGTTAAGAATGGTGTATTATCTTTTTGTACCACGAGAAACAAACTATTTGAAATACTTATTCTGGAATGTCACGCTTGTCCATTTTTGTTTTAATTGTATTACAAATAAAAAACTTTTTAAATAAAAAAAGATTTTATTTAAGAAACAAAGTATTGGCAATTACATAGTTGAACCCAAGAATGAGATTCCCTCCTCCCAGGTACAAAGTAACAAATTGCAATTCCCACCACACAAGACCTGTCATAAATCATGTTCCCCAATTAGCACAAAACACAGGCTTTCCTCCCTGGCCCCTCAGCACCCAAAACCTTATCAGAACATGTCCTTGAGTTTCCACACTTCTACATTGTTATGGCTAGCTAAATCCTCAGGCATTTACCCCATCCCCTCTTCTACATTTGAACTCTAAAAGAATAGAAAGGCACATTAAAAGCAAAAGTAAAAATGGCTGCTGGTTCTCAATTGTCAGAGCGACAACATCCATTGTCACAGCGTTGACATCCGGCTCCCCTTAACAAAAAGGTGTAATCCTGCAATTTAGACAAAAGCATAGGTTAAGGGTTGCCCCTTGGCTTATTGGGGTGTTGGTCATAGAATTTACAGATGAGCCTATTCGCTTTCACATCATCGGATTTCACCCAAGTGGTATCTGATAATGGGTATCTCTTTCACTGTACAAATACTGTAACTTTCCCTTAAAAATTCTAGAATCAAGTATACATTTTACTTCGTAATGTGTTTGTCCAGCTATCACTAGGGGACCAGGTGCTTTCTTGGGAGGAGGTTGTAAAGTGGACCCCTGGAAAGGCTTTAATAAACTACAATGAAAAACAGGGTGAATTTTTCCTAGGCGTTGGTTTCAACTCCACTATAACTGGGTTTATGATTCTGATAATGGGGAAAGGACCTAGGTATTTTGGTCCTAATTTCTTACTAGGCAATTTGAGTCGCAGATACTTTTTCCCCAACATGGAACGATCTCTGGGAAGCCCTTTTCTTATCAACTTGTTTTTTTATAGGTCTCCAAGGCTTTCTTCAACGTGATTTTTGTTTTGTCCCATACTTTCCCCCACCCTGCCAGCCATTGGTCAAGAGTCTGGGAGATAGAGGGTCCTTGAGGATACTCAGGTATTGGGTTGAATTCCTTCCCCATAGCATCTTAAAAGGCGTAAAACCAGTGCTGCTATGAACAGTGTTGTAAGCCACCACAGCAAAAGGGAGGAGGTCAGTCCAGTTTGTTTGTTGATAGTCCATATAGTATCTACAAGTCCATTTGTACCCCTGTCTTGGAACTATGAGCTTGACAGCAAGGGCAAAAGGTGGGATGGGCCGACTACCATAGAGTCATTTTCTCCCTTGTCACTGTCGTAGGAGGCCAGAGTAGGGGTGGTTCCAGCTGGAGTCTCAGTTATCTCCTGCATAGGCGATGCGATCTGAGTGACAGGTTCTTGTGTGACCCTGCTTGACTTTTCTTTTGTTGGCAGATGGGCGGGTTTCTTCCTCTCCAGCAGTCCTGATCTACCTTTCTGCTTGGGATGCGGGACCAGACAATTTGCCGTTCGATGTCCCTGTTGGCCACATCTGAAGGACTTGATCAGCGGGCCCGTAAGTGGCTTAGGAGATTCCATAGCTGTGTTTGCTGGGGTTCTCTGCGGTGGCAGTCATCTAGTTTGTTCTGGCTTTGGCTCAGTTTCTGGAAGAGTTGGCTTCTTATAGCGAGCAAGCTCGATGTCTAGCTTCACTGCCATTTGGTACCACTCTCGTAGTTGATCAGGAACTCCCCAATACAGGCCTGGGATAGATGGTCATCTAGTCCCTCTTTGAAGTGATGTACCAGGAAGTGCTCTGGCTACCTCTCAATCTGACCTGCTACTTCCAAAATTCTTGAACATATTCCAATGCAGGCCTGCTGGCTTGCTTCACCTTGTGAATGTATTTTTCGGCTTTGACAGCTATGGACTTGTCCTTGAATCTGGTTCTCAAACCTCAGATGAAGAGATGGAGTTTTCCTAGTTCAGGCGCTTGTTCGTTGTACAAGTTATTTAGCCACTCAGATGCTTCCCCCTCTAAATTGGCTGTGGGGTCAGGGTAAAAATTGGCATTTCAGTTCATATGGGAACACACTTGATTGAGGAAGAAAACCAACTTCTCTGGATCGCCATCAAAAGTGGCCTTAAAAGGTGGTGCCATTATGGGTTGCTGCCCACCTAATTGCTGTTGTCCTCCCAGCTGTGGTTGCATGTCCAACTGCTGCTGGCCCCCCAGCGGCTGCTGTGTGCCTGGTGGTTGCTGTCTGTGAAACAGATTGCACAGTTGCCCCAGCTGTTGAACCAAGTCGCATTGAACCTCTACATTCAGATCAGCTCTAAGTGCAGGTCCTGGCTTGGGTGATGATGGTGGTGATAATCAGGGCTGCATGACCGATGGTAGTAATGTTCAGTGCTCTTACGGTACCGATAGCGATCAGGGCTCCAATGGTATCGGTGAAGGTCTGGGCTTCGGTAGCATGGGACTGTCATAACGATTCTGCCATCTGGAGCTTTTACGGCGGTGATGCCTATCAGGAGACCGTGATGAACAACGCTGATCAGGGCTTCTCTGATAGCCAAGGTTGTCACATTGTGAGTGGCGTTCTGGCCTCCTTGACACTCGATGACAGCCTGGACTGTCGCCCCATGACTGACAGTCAAGCTCTTCCTCCCCCCTGGGCTTGAGGTCGATGCTGGTGGCTCTGAGCGTGGAGTAGCCACCCAAGCTCTGTCACTGGGGCTAAGGCTTCTTCTGGGCATAGATTGGTGCTGATTTCACCAGTCATCATGTTCACTAATGGGCAAGGAGCGGGTGACCTGTCCCTCACTTCCCATATCTAGCCCCTCAAACTTCTCCACCAACTTCTCCACCAATTGGCTATGGACTGCAAATAGGTACTTCCACTCATCCAAATCTTCTGCCACCATCAACCTTTTTGTTCTTTTCCGGTCAGGGGAGTGTGATTCCTGTGAGGCACCCATTTGCAACTCCAACTCAGCTACTCTTGAAGAACTCTTCCTCAATTGGGCTGCCTTGGGATGCTTAAGGTCTCCATTGGGCAGGGTCCACTCTGAGGACCACAATAGCTCCCGCGTTTTGGGTCTCGCTCCCACTGCCAGAAGTTCTGAACTCACTTTCTCCAATGATGCAAGGGCTCGCGCTCCCTCTGCTGAGGCAGCTGCTGTGGTTGGGGTGCTGATTGTCAGTGCATCTTTTTTCTCCATGCTGAATCTTCCCAGAATCTTTGTCTACCTCCCCTGATTTGGGAAGGTGATTGGAGCTCAGGAGCCCAAAGGATGTTAGAGTAGATAAAATTCTTGGGTGTCATGATTCCAATAGATGAAACCAGTAAAAGAACTTCAAGGCAAGAATTCGTCCTTAAAGAACATTTTATTTAGGAAACAAAGTATTGGCACTTACATAGTTGAACCCAAGAATGAGATTCCATCCTCCCAGATACAAAGTAACAGATTGCAATTCCCACCCCACAAGATCTGTCATAAATCACATTCCCCAGTTAGCATAAAATGTGGGCTTTCCTCTCCGGCCCCTCAGCCCGCCAAGTTGGCTGTGCCAAGTTGTCTCATTCCACCCTGAGTATTGCCTTATGACACCACTGATCCACAAGCTACCTTAATTGCCAGTAAATGTCTGGGTGCAATTCAAAATCCTGATAACTACCTATAAAAACCTTTATGGCATAGGACCAGGTGATTTGCAGAATTGCCATTCTCCCCTGGTTTCTGTCTATATGTATGACTATGCAGGATCAATGTGCTTCAGATTCCCTTGATCAGATAATGTTGCATATTGAGACCAAAGCCTTATTTCTTGATCATTCTTTATTATGGCATCTGTTGTCTGGAGTGGTATCTCCCCAGTGATCCATATGCTGTCAGAAATCCTTACCACACCCCTGGCAAGAAGACACAAGTCGATGAGTTCACAGGTAGCTGGATTTAATCAAGGAATCTCTGGCATGCGTTTAGGCAAGTAAACAACTATCAAAGTCAGCGCTGGGAGCAACTACCTCCCAGCACCTTATATTACACACCCCTCAGCCAGTCCCACCCCCCAATCCCAGGATGCACTGCAGCCCCAGTTCCATGAATGTCCCTGCGTCATCTGGCTGTGCGTTCGACTGCTCTGTCAGCTCTTCGGCTCCCTGCGATTTCCCTGTACCAAACAGCTGTTCAGCAGCATGAAAATGAGCTGTTCAGCTGTCCGGCAGGGTGACCAAGGGGCCAACAATTGTGCTGCCACGCGCCGTCCGTCAACAAGCCAGGTAACAAGAGATGGTCTGTTGGCACCTGCCGTGGTCTCCATCACCCTGCATGCTGTTTCCGGCCTCCTCCCTCTGCCCTTTTATGTCAAGCCTGCAGGGGCTAGACGTATGCCTTCTATCTTAATGATGTTCCAGACATCATTATAAATTTAGTCTTTTTCCCAGGCCTTGAAGTAGGATGTTTATCTCTAACCTAGGATTTTCTTTTTATTGTTTTCTGTTTTTTTAAGTATAAATTGTCCAGACCCATTCTTGAGTCACGCAATCTCTAAATCTCATATCTAATTAAATATTACTCAATAGATCAAAATGTTTTTTTTTAAAAAAAGACTAAAAGATAAGATTAATTTTGATAGATTCAAGATAATTAATATTCCGCAAATAGCAATTAAATCCCTAAACTGGATTAATGCTGATTCTTTTTAGGCCACTAGTTGAGATAAGATATAATCATACCTGGCACGAATCAATTCCTCCTTCAAGATATCCAGCACATATCATTCCAGGTTTTATTACCCCATTGTACACTTCCTTTCTATTGCAAACTTTGGAGTCTATGAGTTTTACTGTAGCTTCCTGAAGGACATTAGGCGTTTCACCTGAACAGAAATATCCAGTTATTTCCCCAGATTATTTGCACTAACACAGGAAAGACATTAAATAACATATTCAGCACATACAATATTTGCTTGTTTGTTAAATCTATATTGCTCCTGCATTACCAGTGACTCTGGGTGGTTTACAATGGTATAAAAGCATAAATATAAAAGCATTAAAATAACAAAACACAATATTAAATAAAGCTTAAAAACCAAGGGTATGGATGATATGATTTATCTCTCACTCAACCCACCACCTCCAGCATAACATGCTCCATTGGGGTCCCAAGCCCACCAGCACATTAATACATATTTTCACACCTTACTGTTGTCACACCCAACTTTTTAATCTTCATCTGGCTTTTCTAAAATTAAGCATGTTGCCCAAACAAAGAATATCTATCATTTCTTGCTAACAATAACAGTACTAAATAAATTAGTGAGTATTGCTCTAATAAATAAATACTAAATAGGCATTTTTATAAGAAAAATATAGGTATCAAAACCTGAATAAAGATTATGAGAAGTTAGCAGAAATTAATCTGAATTTTCCCTTTAGAAGATATTAGAAAGGAAAAGATGAGTAGTAACTAAGAAAATTGGTTATTTGGGGCAAATATATTTTAGTTTCAATGACAAACTCGGTGAAATTGTATTATATTAAAAACTAAACTGCCTGTGACCCATTTGGTCACTCTTTGAGAGGTAGGGCACTCTGATGTAGTTAGAATGAACATTAAATTTTCCTGAATAGTATTGCTATCACTTTGCTTTAAAAATAACCAGGGGTGGGCAAAAAAGCAGCGGGAAAAGGAGCAACTTCCAATTTCCTGCCAGTTTTGCCACTGACTTTGCTTGTGGGAAACTGGCAAACATCAGAAATCATGGCCATTTGAACTCAGGAATGCTACAATGTCCACACCTTTGTGAATAAAACTGGTGTGAGCCTCAAGGAAATTTCAATTTCACTGGATTAATAGTTCCTGGATTATTTTTACATATTCTTTAAGTTAGTAGAGATAATTATTTTGGTTCAAAAATTGTTGTAGTCTAATGCACCATTTGGGCTAACATGAGAGTTCAAACAAGCAAATATAATGAGACTTGTAGTATATAGATATACTGAATGTGGAGATCAGTGTTGAATCATTTTTTATTCCCCAGTGCTTCAAAAGGACAACAAAAGCTATGATTACTTGTTCTTTATTATTCAGTAGCTGACTAATATTATTTAAGGCTCTGGGTTTTTTTTTTTTATTTCTCTTAGATCTAGTACTAGCACAACTACAGTTCTGAATTTAGCCTCAAATAATCTTCATTAATCTTGCAAGACTAGGCTGTGAGTGCAAGAAATGAAGTTGGCAAGACAGGAGAGAGTGGTTTCCTAGTGAGACAGTATTGTAGATGGCTTAGGACTATTAAAAAAATGGTCAAATTTTTGCAGACCTAAAAAAACCTAGGATTTAAAGATAGGGACAGACATATATACATCAACTTTAATTGTGTCTATGGATTGTATTTGTGGAAATCTCTAAATATTGCCCCAATTCGTAATAATTTTATGAATATCTGTATGTCTGTAAACTTTTGCCAGAAAAAAAATCTGAATACAATATCTGAAATGAAGACTGATAGGAAATATCTGTTTCAATTATTTTATCAATTTCTCACCAATCAGTTCCAGTCTGTTTCTTATCATTTTGAGGGAAGGACTAAAAACAGACTGGTCATTGAAACAATTCTTTCATTTCCAAAGGCAATACGGGCTAAAAATTTGTAACAAGTGAATTGTCACTAATGATGTATGGTTATGTTCTACTCCTGTTTTTCTTTTCTTTTCTTTTCTTTCTTTCTTTCTTTCTTTCTTTCTTTCTTTCTTTCTTTCTTTCTTTCTTTCTTTCTTTCTTTCTTTCTTTCTTTTTCTTCCTTTCCTTTTTTGTTCCTCCTTTTTGGATTACAAGTAGTCCTGGGGTACAATGGCAATTGGGACCAGAATTTCTGTTGCTATGTAATGTGATCTTAAAGCACAATGTCACATGACCAAATAATTTAGTAATGGCAGTCCTAGCAGTCCATATTGCCATTGTAACCCAAGAACTGCACAGTTGTTAAGCAGGAAGACGCAAGCATTACAAAGTCAACTAGGCAAAAAAGTGATGGGAGTAGGAGCATTTCTGACTTTGCTTGTGTAAAGCCAACAGTGAATGTCAAAAACCACAATCACATGATCATGACTCACTGCAATGTCATAATCACAAGCTGGACTCTGAGTGTCTGGAATGTGATTATATATATGGGAACACTGCAACAGCCAAAACTATGGACTGGTTGTAAGTCCCCTTTATCCAACACCCTCATAATTTTAAACTGTTGATGAATGAGTGATTGAAACAAGGATTACATATACAGATAGTTCTTGAGATAAACTGTAATGGAGCCTGCCCATGTTCCATGTTGCAACAGTCATTAAGCATCTCATCAAATGATCCCCCTCATCCCTGCTCTCCCCAATGAATTATTAAATTTTAAATATTAAGCAAAACATGGGTATGGGAGGCTCTTGGTCCTTCCAAGGCTTTCACCCGTGAGATGCCCAATGCTCCATCTCCCACTTTTTGGGTCATCATAAGCCTTTCCCCATTTCCTATTGAGTCCTTCCAAGCCTTAGGTCTGATTCCCACCCCACCAAACCAAACACCCTCTCCACACTTATCTTTTAAAGAGCTCCAGGCCATCCACAGGGCTGGAATGGATTGCTTCACTGCACAGCTGCATGGGTGAGTCCAGAAGCAACTGCCATTTTGTCCAACCCACAAAATGGTAGTTGCTTTTGGGTCCCTGTCCCATGGCCTGAGAACAAAGTGCTTGAAGTCTGTCCAAAGCTGCAGAAGAGCTTCTGCAATGCTGTACAAACCATGTTAAGTCAGCAAAATAGATTGATTTATTGTATTGATTTATTTAGTGTAATAGAGCCGAGGTGGCGCAGCAGTTAGAGTGCAGTACTGCAGGCCACTTTAGCTGACTGTGTTCAGCAGGTCAGCGGTTCAAATCTCACCAGCTCAAGGTTGACTCAGCCTTCCATCCTTCCGGGATAGGTAAAATGAGGACCCAGATTGTTGGGGGCAATGTAAATATATATATTGCTTACTGGTGTACACCGCTTAGAGAGTGCTTGCACTTAAAGTGATATATAAGTCTCATAAATAAATAAATAAATAAATTTATTACATGGTCACATGGTGCAATTCCAGAAGTGGCAACGATTCAGGGATGTAACCACAATTCATGGATGCATGTCCAGAAATCTTCAAAAGGTAAGTGAGATAGATGATGGGTATGATGTAGCAGGCCCAATAGTTGCAGGGTCCCAACAAAGGAGGATGGGGCAGAGAGGCAGGGAGCACTGTAGTGTCCTTGTGATTGGTCGTAAGGGCAAATCATTGCAGGGGATTGCAGCCATTGTAACTTTGAAATGGGGTCATATATAGCTTTCGATGGGGGGTGTAAGGACCCACCCCACTTTGCATCTTAAGAAGACAGAACTCTTGGAATAATTCTTCCAACAGGAATCCTTTATTAAGAGAAAATGGTTGCAGGCGTTCTAGACAGGACTTGGGGTTCAAGCTCTCCCATTCGAGGTTTTAAGGGGTTCCCAGTAGTCCCACCCAATCACCCCCCTCTTCCAGTGACAGTTTCAGGCATCACAATCTTACCCCTTTTTTCCTTTCTTCCGGCTGGATGGAGACTTCAGATAAACTACATGAAAGGTAAATAGCCTCCGTTGTTATGATAAGGCCTTTTGGTGCTAACCACATTCAAACCCTTTGAAGTTGTACCAAAGGAAGTGAGGGCCATAAAGCCCCTTTGTTCACCCCCCTTTCTTTCTTTATGGCAGAATCCAGAGAGGGCAGAAATGGGGTTTTCTATAATTAATAACTGGAGATGAAGTATAATTGGATTCTGACATCCGGCCCCCCTTAAAAATAAGAGAGATCCACCTGAAAGAAAACAAAACAGGTCTAAAAGTTAGTCAGGCTTGTTAGGATACTCTGTGTGAAACTTCTTCAATAGCTTCGGGGCTCTGACATGACGTTTATGGACCCACTCGTTTTGTGAGGGAGGGAGGTGTTTCCAGGCAACTAGGTACTGAGTTGCTCCATAATATCTCCCAGAGTCAAGGATTTCCTTTATTTCGAAGTGTTGTTTGCCCTCCACCATGATTGGAGGTGGTGGTGGGGGGGGGGAGATTTTTGGCTGTAGAGGTGACTGATGCTCTCTTTTCAGCAAGCTGCAATGAAAAATTGGATGTATTTGCCTGAGATTTTTGGGTAATTCTAATTCTACTGTTACTGGATTTATGATTCTTTTAATTGGAAAAGGTCCTATATATTTTGGTCCAAGTTTTTTACAGGGCTGTAGGGACTTTAGGTATTTTGTAGATACGTACACCATTTCTCCTATAATGAATGGTGTAGGCTCAACCCTTTTTTTATCGGCTTGTGCTTTGTATGCCTGCCTAGCTTCATCTAGTGCTTTTTTAACTATTGGCCAGGTGTTTTGTAGTTTTTCCATCCATTCTTTCAGTGAAGGGATCGTTGGTTCGTTTGGGGTTAACTCTAGCATGGGGTTGAAACTTTGACCGGTGGCTATTTGAAAAGGAGTGTAACCTGTGCTGGAGTGGACTGCATTATTGTAGGCAACTTCTGCAAAAGGGAGTAAGTCCGCCCACTTGGTCTGCTGGAAACTAAGAAAACATCTTAAATATTGCTTAAGTACGGAGTTCATTTTTTCACCCCCCCCCCATTTCCTTGTGGGTGGTGGCTAGATGTCAGTCCCTGAATGGTTCCTAAGAGGGATAAAAATTCCTTCCAAAATGCAGACGTAAATTGCACCCCCCTGTCAGAGATGATGCGTTGGGGTGCCCCATGCAATCTGTAAATGTGTTGGATGAAAAGTTTTGCTAAGGCTTTTGCAGTGGGAATCTTTTGGCAAGGGATAAA